AGATCGAAAAACTCCCTTTTGCATTTCTTGTAAGACAGGTCTACTGTTGAATAATATTGATAAATTCCCTTAGCTTCTGTTTGTCTGGGAAAGACTTTATTTCTCATTCTTATATGAAAGTTAGTTTTGCCAGATCCTGAATTCTTGCCTGACAGTCTTTTTCCTTCAGCACTCTGAATATATCATCCCATTCTCTTCTGGCCTGCAGCATTTCTACTGAGAAATTCACTCTGTTGAATGTTATGTGTTTCTTTTCTCTTGCTGCTTTCAATATTCTCTCTTTGGTTTTTGATAATTTGATTTTGATGTGCCTTCGGGTGTTCCTCCTTGAATTCAGTTAGGCTGGCAACCTCTGAGATTCCTACACCTGGATTATGTCATCTTTCTCCATACTTGGGAAATTTTCAGCCATCGTTTTCTTGAACATGCTTTCTATATCTCTTCCTTTTCCCTCTACTTTGGGTATGCTCATTATACAGAGGTTATTTCACTCGAGGGAGTCCCACATTTGCTGTATTTCTGTTTCATTTTTTCTTATTCTCTTTTCTTTTTGCTCCTCCAGTGGGATAATTTCATGTGCTTTATCTTTGAGCTTGCTGATTCTTCCTCTGTTTTATTAAGTCTGCTGTTGGAACTTTCTATTGAGTTTTTTTAATACAGATAATATATTCTTTATTTCTATCATTTGCTGTATTTCTGTTTCATTTTTTCTTATTCTTTTTTCTTTTTGCTCCTCCGGTGGGATAATTTCATGTGCTTTATCTTTGAGCTTGCTGATTCTTCCTCTGTTTTATTACGTCTGCTGTTGGAACTTTCTATTGAGTTTTTTTAATACAGATAATATATTCTTTATTTCTATTTGTTTTTTTAAATTGATTCTATTTCTTTGTCAATTTTCACATTCTGCACCTAAATTATTTTTGAGATATCATTTAATTTTCTATCTGTATTTTGTTGTGACTCCCTGAAAATCCTTAGAGGATTATTCTGAATTCTCTGTCAGACTTTTCATAGATCTGCTTTTCCTCTTTATTCATTGCTTATGCTTTGTTTGTTTCATCTGGTGGCAACGTATTTCTTTTTTCTTTGTTGATCTTTTTGTCTTTATGTTGATGCCTAGGCATTTGAGGAGACTGCTGTTTGCTGCTCATTCTCTGGGGATGGTTTTTTGTGTTGATCGTCTGGACTGGGTGGCAATGCCAGCCTGAGAAGGAGTTTTTCCTGCAGATTGAGCCCCCAGAAGTTCTATTGCCCTGATCATTTCCACTGAGACCAGCTGTCCACACTGTGCCTGATGTTCCCCTAGTGGGCCTGCCTTTCTCCCGCACTCCATCTGCTTCCCATGGAGCACGCTTTGTACATGTCCATTGCGATAACTCACTGGCTTCTTGGTGATACTTTCTCTCTAGTCGGTTGTGGTCACTTGCTCCTGCGTGGACTGGGGGAATCTTGCCCATGGTCTTTATGGCCCATGAGCTGGTATGGGGTGCTTCAAAGACCTCTCCCCTGCGGACTCCAAGCAGGTGCACATGAAAGGTGTCACAGTTTTTTTCTGGCTTCAATCCGTGTGTAACATCTAGGCCCTGCCTCCATACCAGGCTGGCTTAGAACAGTAGGTGCTGTCCCTGCACACTCTCACTTTTGCTCCTTGTGCCTTCAAGAACTCTTCACACCTGTCCTCCTCTTCCCCCAGCTCCAGCAGTTCCAAGTTGCCTGTCTTTGCTTTTTAATGGTTGTAAATTGGTTACTTGTGGGAGGGTCGGATGCTGGGAATTGTCTATTCTGCCATCTTGATGATGTCACTCCTCAATAATCATTCAAAGCAACTTTTTATGTCTTGCCATGCTTGCTATTTTGAGTTATTATTACTTGCATTGTTATTGAATTTCCTATGTTTGTCTTTTCTTTCCAATTACCCTTTAAACTTTTTGATGGAAGGGCATTACACTCAAGTGACTCACACAAGTCTTTGAAACAGAAAGTGCTCAATAAGATTGTCAACTGATTTAGGATAAAAACACTAAAAATAGTGATAAAAAAGAGAGAGGACTTAGAGGTGAGCAGAGTCAAGCATATCAGTCCAGAGTAGCCGTAATGCTAGGGATGTTTCATCTCTCCCCACAGATGGATTTTGACTTCTACAAAGTCTTGTCTTCATTACTCAAACTTTGTTAATACAATCATTTAACTTGAATGAATATTTGAAAGGCATTTATATAATGAAAATATTTCCAAGTGATTTGGAAAATCAGATTGTTTTGAAAATAAAAAATTTTTCCACATTTAAAGCTAAAATTAATTTTGACAGATTGGACCCAAGGTGCACAGACTGGCAGATACATCTATCCTCAAAATCTTCCCAACAATTGAGTGGCTTGAAAATGTTGTATGAAGTAGCTAAATTAAATAGTTTCAGAGAAGAAGGGAGAGCATGACTCAGATAAAATGTGTATATAAAATTTAATTATAAAGAACAGGTAGATTCACTGTAAAAAAAATGGATTGTCTGGCTGAAGAGAAGAGATGGGAGGGAGACAGAAGAGAGAGAACCAGGAGGTGATGAAGGAGGTTACTGAGTATGTTGGGAGTTAGAGAGAAATCCCCGGTAGTGGGGTGGCCTGAACGAGTTGGAAGAACATGTCTAATATAAATATCATATATATGGCAGACCTTTTATAGAAATCTCAAATTTGTATAAGGTCCATTGCACCAGTTGCTATGCCTATCTGATTGATTGACTGATTGATTGATGGGTAGCGTTTGATTTGGTTTGTTTCATTTTGAAGAAATCTAGGTATGTTAATTTCCTATTGCTGCTCTAACAAATGACCACAAACTTAATTCCTTCAAGCAACATGAATTTATTATCTTACAGTCCTGAGTGTCAGGTGTCCAAAATAAGTTTTGCTGGGCTTAAATCAAGGTGTTGGCTGGATCTTGCTCACTCTAGAAACTCTAGGGGGAGGGGGGAAATCAGTTTCCTTTCCTTTTCAACTTCTGTAATTGCATTATTTGGCTCATGGCCCCTATCTCTATCTTCAAAGCCAGCAGCATAGCATCTTCAAAAATCTCTTTCCTCTCTGCCCTCCAACCTTGCTCTTATAAAGACCCTTGTGATTACATTGGGCCCATCTAGATAATCCAGGATAATGTTCCCATCTCAAGATTCTTTACCACATCTATAAAGTTCTTATTGCAACATAAAGCAACATATTCACAATTCCAGGGATTTGGAATCGGATATCTTTGGGGAGGTCGTTATTCAGCCTACCTTTCTGGGTTCCTGCTAGTTTAGTACGTGGGATAGAATATCTGTCCTAATTTTGAAAGGTGAGGTCTGGGACATCTGGGTAATTTAAAATAATATGAGTTAAGTGATAAGTTAAAATCATCCATTCCTTCATGATTTCTATTTTATTTCATAATTTTACTCATTATTATTTTATTACTTTAATACTTTATAAATATGTTAATATTTTTATTGAAACATAGGGTAATATGTCCTGTTAGCATTTCATTCAGTTGGCAGGTATTCATTGAGCAAACTTTAGGTGCCAGGTACCACGAGTGCCAGAGTATACAATAAAGTGTAAGATATGGCAGTTGTTTTCAAGAAACTTCAGTTTTGTAGGGCAGAAGTAGAAGAAAATAGATAATTTTACTACAGTCTGATAAAAGCAATGGTAGGTATAATCACAGGGTGTTAAGGCAAAACATAGAACCCACCCAACTTGATTAAGGGGGTTGGAAAATGCATCCCAGACATATCAGTCAGTGTTCAATTAGAGAAGCAGAACCAGGGATTTGACCTTATGCAATTGTGGGAGCAAGTTGAGTACTTTCTGAAGGCCATCGTCTTCCTATCTGTTGCTGGAGCTTGCAATCTGTAGGGCTGGCAGGTGGGAAAGGAAGATGTGTGTGAAGCAGGGAGACCAAAGACAAGGTAGAACCTACAAGCTCAAGACTGTGTTCACCTCTTACAGCCTCCAGCACTGACATTGATGATGTGAGTGTTCTGCAGGAGAAGCTGGTGTTCTTTGCTAATCGAACTAAACACGTCTGGCCCAGAAGTCAGAGAAGCTGGAGGAGGATCCAGTCCCACACCAGAGAGGTGATCCAGCAGAAAAATGAAAATGTACATGAACTGCAAATCAACACATTTTAAAGCCACCACAACTGAATCAACAGAGGAAAAGGGGATTTCATCTAACTACAAATAGTTTACTGTGGCTGGAGTGGCTTATGTTCATGTGGGGATATAAGGCGGTTAGGGTGGAGGGTAAGGTGGGAGGAGTGAAAGATGATCCAAGGGCCTTAAATCAAACAAGATCATTGAAGAGGTTTTACAATCCAGGACAAAGTGTCTGACTGGATCCTGATGGCAATGGGGAACACTGACCTTGATTGACTCTCCAATCTTCATTTCAAAAATTGCAAAACTATTAGCATAACATAATCTTCCCTAGATCTCAGCTATCCCCATCCTTCCTTCCACTCACAATCATATCCACAAACTGCTCAGCCTTCCCGTACATTCTTACTGCCTTAATGACTCTACCTGGAGTACATTTCCCTACACCCTTTCCCCCTTCAAGTTTGATCTCCTTTGTGAATACTTCCCTAAGCAGTAGTCCTCCCAGCAGGATAGAAGTGATCACACTATGTGTCACTACACTGTGACCATCTGAGGACAGAATCCTAATCTATATAACCAAAATGTTCCCACTGCTTAGCACAGTTTCTGGCACTTGAAAGATACTCAATAGATGCTTATTGATTGAATCAAGTTCCTCTCACCAAACACTTTGTTTATATGTTTTTTCAATTGTCTTAGTGCGTTTGATGAAGTGGGCTTCTGATCACTGTCAGACATAGAGAGGCACCAGATTTCTCAGCATTCTGTATTTGAATAGAGAATTAAGAAGCAAGACTAAAAGCTTCTAGCATCCCTCAGAAAAGTGTCTACATACAGACTCAAGTTATCAAGAGGGAAAGAAACATCATTCCTTTTCCAAGGTCTGCTCCAAGGTATCATTCAGCCTCTTATTCTTTACCAAAAGGTCTTCATCATTCTTTTTTATAAGGCCTTCCTTATCACCATTGATATTTGTAATGTCCATAGGACTGCCTGTCTCGTCACTGAGCCAGTTATAGTGATAAAGAGGCTTCAGTTTTTTGATGTAGATGAGCTTAAACCATCTTCGGAAGGTTTGTTTAACAGCTGAGGAGGTCATTGTAATGACTATATCCATAAAGACATTGCGGGTTATTTCTGCCAACTCCTTGATCACAGGGTCCTCATCCTGGAGCACTCGTTGAATAGCTGTAAAAGCAGAAGGGCCATTAGTGCAAGGCATTCATCCCTCTATTAGAATTCAAGAAGCTCTCAGGGCTGGCCCGGTGGCGCACTGCTACAGTGCGCCGCTTGGGAGCGCTGCGGCGCTCCCTCCGAGGGTTCAGATCCCACATACAGACCGGTTCCCGCTCACTGGCTGAGNAATAGATAATTTTACTACAGTCTGATAAAAGCAATGGTAGGTATAATCACAGGGTGTTAAGGCAAAACATAGAACCCACCCAACTTGATTAAGGGGGTTGGAAAATGCATCCCAGACATATCAGTCAGTGTTCAATTAGAGAAGCAGAACCAGGGATTTGACCTTATGCAATTGTGGGAGCAAGTTGAGTACTTTCTGAAGGCCATCGTCTTCCTATCTGTTGCTGGAGCTTGCAATCTGTAGGGCTGGCAGGTGGGAAAGGAAGATGTGTGTGAAGCAGGGAGACCAAAGACAAGGTAGAACCTACAAGCTCAAGACTGTGTTCACCTCTTACAGCCTCCAGCACTGACATTGATGATGTGAGTGTTCTGCAGGAGAAGCTGGTGTTCTTTGCTAATCGAACTAAACACGTCTGGCCCAGAAGTCAGAGAAGCTGGAGGAGGATCCAGTCCCACACCAGAGAGGTGATCCAGCAGAAAAATGAAAATGTACATGAACTGCAAATCAACACATTTTAAAGCCACCACAACTGAATCAACAGAGGAAAAGGGGATTTCATCTAACTACAAATAGTTTACTGTGGCTGGAGTGGCTTATGTTCATGTGGGGATATAAGGCGGTTAGGGTGGAGGGTAAGGTGGGAGGAGTGAAAGATGATCCAAGGGCCTTAAATCAAACAAGATCATTGAAGAGGTTTTACAATCCAGGACAAAGTGTCTGACTGGATCCTGATGGCAATGGGGAACACTGACCTTGATTGACTCTCCAATCTTCATTTCAAAAATTGCAAAACTATTAGCATAACATAATCTTCCCTAGATCTCAGCTATCCCCATCCTTCCTTCCACTCACAATCATATCCACAAACTGCTCAGCCTTCCCGTACATTCTTACTGCCTTAATGACTCTACCTGGAGTACATTTCCCTACACCCTTTCCCCCTTCAAGTTTGATCTCCTTTGTGAATACTTCCCTAAGCAGTAGTCCTCCCAGCAGGATAGAAGTGATCACACTATGTGTCACTACACTGTGACCATCTGAGGACAGAATCCTAATCTATATAACCAAAATGTTCCCACTGCTTAGCACAGTTTCTGGCACCTGAAAGATACTCAATAGATGCTTATTGATTGAATCAAGTTCCTCTCACCAAACACTTTGTTTATATGTTTTTTCAATTGTCTTAGTGCGTTTGATGAAGTGGGCTTCTGATCACTGTCAGACATAGAGAGGCACCAGATTTCTCAGCATTCTGTATTTGAATAGAGAATTAAGAAGCAAGACTAAAAGCTTCTAGCATCCCTCAGAAAAGTGTCTACATACAGACTCAAGTTATCAAGAGGGAAAGAAACATCATTCCTTTTCCAAGGTCTGCTCCAAGGTATCATTCAGCCTCTTATTCTTTACCAAAAGGTCTTCATCATTCTTTTTTATAAGGCCTTCCTTATCACCATTGATATTTGTAATGTCCATAGGACTGCCTGTCTCGTCACTGAGCCAGTTATAGTGATAAAGAGGCTTCAGTTTTTTGATGTAGATGAGCTTAAACCATCTTCGGAAGGTTTGTTTAACAGCTGAGGAGGTCATTGTAATGACTATATCCATAAAGACATTGCGGGTTATTTCTGCCAACTCCTTGATCACAGGGTCCTCATCCTGGAGCACTCGTTGAATAGCTGTAAAAGCAGAAGGGCCATTAGTGCAAGGCATTCATCCCTCTATTAGAATTCAAGAAGCTCTCGGGGCTGGCCCAGTGGCGCACTGCTACAGTGCGCCGCTTGGGAGCGCTGCGGCGCTCCCTCTGAGGGTTCAGATCCCACATACAGACCGGTTCCCGCCCACCGGCTGAGCGGGGGGCAGGGGCAGCACCGAGGGGTGCAATCCCGTTGCCGGTCCCGGTCCGGTACGGGCGCGACACTGAGGGTTGCGATCCGTGGCCAGACACGAAAAAAGACAAAAAGGAAAAAAAAAAAAAGAATTCAAGAAGCTCTCAGGGCTGGCCCGGTGGCGCACTGCTACAGTGCGCCGCTTGGGAGCGCTGCGGCGCTCCCTCCGAGGGGTCAGATCCCACATACAGACCGGCTCCCGCCCACCGGCTGAGCGGGGGGCAGGGGCAGCACCGAGGGGTGCAATCCCGTTGCCGGTCCCGGTCCGGTACGGGCGCGACACTGAGGGTTGCGATCCGTGGCCAGACACGAAAAAAGACAAAAAGGAAAAAAAAAAAAAGAATTCAAGAAGCTCTAACCCCTCTTCCCTTTGCCCCTCCTTCCACTCCCTCCCCCCCATTTCATTACTTTGACTAATAGCATTCAGGAATTGTTATTCTCTATTCCTACCAGATCCTATTAAAAGAACAATGGAAATATTTACTAAACATTTCATGAGTACCTATTATGTGCTGAGCATTCTGCTAGACAGCATAAACATATATTCATGAAGATGGTCATAAATATATATAATATATTATTATATTATATTAGTCATAATAATGAGAAAAATTGCAATCAGCCTAAATGTTCATTAACAGGAAACTGCTTAAAAATTAGGAATATCATGGGCCAGCCCCATGGCTCACTCAGGAGAGTGTGGTGCTCCCACCACAGGTTCTGATCCTATATAGGGATGGGCGGTGCGCTCACTGGCTGAGCGCGGTGCGGGCAACACCAAGACAAGGGTTGCGATCCCCTTACCGGCCAAGAAAAAGACAAAAAAAAAAAAAAAAATTAGGAATATCATAAAATGAAATAGTCTATACATATCAATGTAATAATGTAGACCCACATTTCCTGTCATGGAAAGAGGTTTATGATATAAGGGTAAGTGAAAAAAGTTATAAAACAATTATGATAGTTTTAAAAATAAATAGTTACTTATATTCTTTAGAAATATATGGGAAAATACATATACCAAAATGCTAACATCATTATATCCAAATAATGGGCTGTGGACAACCACTATTTTATTTTTTATTAAAAGAAATAGAGAGGAAAACAAGGAAGATTTAGAAAAGAGAGGAGGAGGAGCAGAAAAAGGAGGAGAAGAGAAGGAAGAAAAAGGTTATGAGAAAGATGAAGGGAGAATTCTAGTGCTTGCTATTTAGCAGGCAGTCAAATATGTGTTCAATGAATGAGTGAGTGAATGAATGAATGAATGAAAAAGGAAAGAGGATAATGATGTGTCCATGTAGGTTCACCAATTGTAACAAATGTACCACTCTGGTGGGGGATGTTGGTAATGGGGAAGCTATGCGCGTGTGGGGGCAGGAGGCATCTGGAAAATCTCTGTACGTCTAAGCTTGATTTTGCCATGAACCTAAAACTACTCTAAAAAATAGTCTATTAAAAAAAAAAAAAAGATTCATACCCTGATGGGGCTTTAGAGAGAAGCTAAGAGAGATATCTAAGACCCAAGCATTTTGGTAGAGTAACATTACCCTTCTTTAATTCCCTCCTCTGCAAATGTATTGTACATTGCTATCTACTAAAATGTACATTCTCAGAGGGAAGAGACTTTGCTTTATTTGCTTCTGTATCCCCAGCATCTAGAATAGTGCTATCATGTAGGAGATGATGGAAAAATACATGCTGGATGAATGAGTGAACAAATCCTCAACTTTCTGTAGTTCCTAAGGGCTCTAGGATGATAGTTAGGTCTCAGACAATGAAAGAGATAAATGGAGAGATACACTGGGAGAGAAAGAAAGAGAAAAGAATAGAAAAAGACAAAAGATCCCCTTTCATTGATTCTCCCCTAACCACCCATCCTTCACTACTTCTTTCCTGCCATCCTTGCACCCTTATAGAACTGTTACATGACAAGAATCACAAATAAAAAGTTTATTTAGATCTATGTGTAAAGATTTCATTATAACCTCAATACTTACCCTCAAGCATGACTTCAATTTCATCTCTGAGTAGTAAATGGCAACCTGATTTTGCCAGGTACCCTATGCAACAAAGCAAAATTAAAGTTACCCAAGATACATTATGAGTATACATTTTCTGATATCTGGCTACTTTCTCTGGTTTCTCATAAACAAAGCATGTCTAGATTACCCTTGAGTCTTCCTCTGGTGCTTTCAAATAATTATTATTTAATAAAACTGTTTACTAAATGAGCACAAATCATACTGTACAGCTCCATGAATGACCACAAAATGAACACACCCTCCTAGTTACCACCTAGATCATTAAAAAGAATACTAACAGCATCCCAGAAGCCTCCCTCGAGACACTCCTAATCTCCTCCACCTTTCAGAATACATTCTTTTGTGTCTGCCTTCTTTTGCTTCACCTTCTGTTGTGACTCATCCATGTTCTTTCATGTAGCAATGGTTCATTCATTTTCATTGCTACATGGCAGAAGCTGGCCAATAACGTTTCCTTGAAACAGCCACGTGCATTGGCTTATTTGTTTATATATTATGTGTAACTTCTTTTACCTTAAGACAGCAGAGTTTAGTATTTGCAAAGAGACCATATGCACTCAAAACCTAACATATTTACTATTGGCTCCATAACAGAAAGAGTTTGCTGAATCCTGCTATTCCATCTTATGAAAGCAGCATTTTTCATCCATTCTGCTGATGATGGACATTTGTGTTATTTCCAGTTTGGGGCTGCTGTGAATAATGATGTTGTAGGCATTCATGTATATGAATTTTGGTATGTATTTGAATAATTGCTGTTTGGCAGGTAATAGATATGCTTATGTTCAACTTTAATGGTTACTGCCAATAGTTTTCCAAAGCATTTGTGCCAGTTTTCACTCTGCCAACATTGTATGAGCATTTCCATTGCTCTGTCCCCTCTCCAACACTTGATATTGTTAATCTTTTTCTTTTCAGTTATTCTCATGGGTTCGGTGGTAGTATCTATCACATTGTGATTTTAATTTGCATTTTTTTGAGACGATTAATAGAATTTTGTATATTTATTGGCCTTTTCAATATCTTCTTTTGTGGAATGCTTATTCAAGTAAGTCTCTTGCCTCTTTATATTGAGCTGTCTTTTTTTTCTTATTTATTTGTAGGCATTTTTTATTCTGGATACTAATATTTTTAGTGTTATATGCCTTTCAAATATCTTCTCCCATCCAAAGCCTAAACTTTTTCATTTGTATTGGTTTTTCAATGATGTCTCTAATTTTAATGTAGTCCAATTCATCATCTTTTCATTTTTGGTTAGTGGATTTTTGAGTCCTGTTAGAAAATCTTTGCCTGTTCTAAGGTCATAAAGATATTCTCCTATGTTTACTTCTAGGAGATTTATTATTTTACCATTCACATTTAGATCTATAATCCAAGTGGAGTTATGTGGCATGAAGTGGGGGTCAAATATCTGTGTAATTGACCCTGCCCCTACTGCTTGGCAAGGTCACCTAATCATAAATTATGTGTGGGTCAGTGTCTTGACTCCATTCTGTCTGTCTGTCATTGTGCCACTACTGTTCTGCCTTAATGCATGTGTCTTTATATCCTGTGGTATGTCTTTCAATTCTGTGGTTCTTCAAATTAACTTCACTGATCTTAAGCCTTTAAATTTTAGAATCAGCTTGCCAAATTTCACACACACCCAAAACCCCTGCTAAGATTTTGTTTTGAATTGCATTAAATTCGTATAGATCCATTTAGATCTATGTAGAACTGACATTGTTACAATATTTAATCTTTCAATTCATGAACATAATATATCCCTCTATTTAAGTCTTTTAAAAATTTTCTCAATGTTTTCTAGTGTTTTGTGTATCAGTTTTGTACATCTTTCCTTAGTTTTATTTTGAAGTAGTTGACAATTTCTGGTGCTACTGTATTTTGTATTGAAAAATATTTTGAGTTTCTAATTGTTCATTGCTCGTGTATAGAAATCCAACTGATCTTTGCATATTGAGTTTGTATGTAGAAAACTTGCTTAACTTATTTATTAATTTGAGTAGTTTTTCTGAATTCTTGCTCATGTTGTAAATATGCAATTGTTTATCTGCAAATTTTGAAAGTTTTATTTTCTTTTATTCAAACTTAGACATTTTATTTCTTGTTATTGCCTTATTTCAGTACTGGAAAATTCTTGGCCATTATCTCTTCAAATAGTTCTTCATTCTCTCCCCTCTCTCCTTTTAACTATGTCTCATATTATCTTATGCTTTTTCATATTTTCTATTTTTATTTTTTCTAGCTTTGATCTTGAGGCTGAATATTTTATTCTGACATCTCTTTCTCTAATTCTCCCTTAAGCTCTTTCTAATCTGCTGTTAATTTCATCCAGTGAGTTTTGTATTCCACATTTCATCTTATTTTTAAATTTAATCTTTTGAATACATTGATCATATTTATTTTAAAGTTTGTATTTAATTTTGTCAATAACTACATACTCCGGATTCCATTTCTATTGTTTTTTTCCTTGTAGTTAAAAAGTAAATCTTTCTATGTGTCTGATTATTTTTGATTAAATGTTAGATATTATGTATGAAATTTTGTGTAGATAATTCGAGTCTCTGGGAAATCTGTCTTCTCTCACTAGGGATTTATTTTTACTTCTGTCAATCTGTTAGGCTAGAGGTATATCTCCTTAATCAAGCAGGGAATTAGATATTCAAGGCCTCAGTCATTGTGAGGGGTGCTCTATTTCCAATTTACTTTTACTCTGAGGGTAGAGTCATTAGAAATCCCATCTGAAAGCCCATCTACTAGGATTCCTTCTCATTGTAAGCCTGCTCCAAGTTTTGTTCCTCCAGCACAGTGAGACAGGTAAAATTTCTGCATTTTTCAGCCTCTCAGATACTTTTTTTTTTTTTTTTTTGCATATAGAATTTGCAGAAACTAAAAAGGAAAATAATGTTCAAATGCTAGGCCTACTTCTTTTGGCTTCTCTTCTGTTCTGGATCACTGTCTCTATAAAAGCTCTCTAATGTCATCAGAAAAGTTCTTAAAATATTTTTTCCCACTTTTCTAGTTGTTTTTATCAGGAGGCATGCCTAAAACTAATTAGCCAACTATTGCTAGAAGCAGAAATTTAAAATGACATTTAATCTCAAAAATGAAAAAAATGTTACAAAGAATTAAACACCTTTGATGTCCCAGACGCTCTGCTTTATTATAGTTAATCCTTGCATCCATTTTGTAAAGCTGTTCTTATTACTATGATTTTACACATGATAAGACCAAAATTACTAGAGATTAAGCAACTTGGTAAAGGTCACATGGCCTGGTGAGTGTTCATTCTGAGATTTGAATGCAACCTTACTATTTTTATTATTATTTGTGTAATCAGAAAATGAAATGTATTTTTTAAGGTGTAGAACATGGTGTTTTCATATACATATACCTAGTGAAAGAAATACTAGAGTAAAGCAAATTAACATATGCATCATCTCACAGTTACCTTGTGTGTGTGTGTGTGTGTGTGTGTTAAGAAAACCTAAAAGTTATTCTCTTAGCAAATTTCCAGTATATGATACAATATTATTAACTATAGTGCTCATGCTGTACCTTAGATCTCTAGACTTATTTATCTTACATAAATGTAACTTTGTACCCTTTGATCTACATTTCCCATTTCTCCCTCCCCCATCTCTGGTAGCCACCATTCTACTTTGTGTTTCTATGTACTTGACCTTTTTTTTTAGATTCCACATATAAGTGAGATTATGCAGTACTTTGCTTTTTGTTTCTGGCTTATTTCACTTAGCATAATGTCCTCTAGGTTTATCTAAGTTGTCTCAAATGGCGGGATATCCTTTGTTTATCTGACACTTAACCAACATTTTGTATTTTTCCTCTGCTTCAGTCACAATAATGACTACAAAAATCATAGTAATCAATCATTTTCATAATACAATCTACAAATAGTAAAGCTCAAGATACTCTTTTTGGTAGGTGGAGCATGGGCTTTAAAATTTAAAAATAATGCTTGTAATGAAAACTTGTGTTGTGGGG